ATTATGAGTAGTGGTGGGCTTAGAATTGGTACCGAAGTTTCAGTGCTGCGTGCTTTGGAAGGTAATTTTAGCTACATGCATTTTTTAAACCTTAATTATATATGCTCGTAGAATTTGAATTTTATGATTAATTTAATTATACAATTAATTCTAAAATATTAAAGGAATGGAAGACCTAATGTATTGGTCAGTTTATGCTGGACGTCGCATAATTTCAAGGTCAAGTGTATCCTACAAAACCGGAAAAAATAGAGTTAAAAGGCACAGTGTTCGTCAACACCCATACAATCATCAGCGCCAATTCATGGATGTTGATGATGAACAAACATCAACGCATCACCGACAAAAATTACAAGTGAAGGTTGCAGGAAAGCACGGAAGAAAGAAAAGGGTAAAGAAAAAACTTCTAAAGCAAAAGAAAAGAAGTATTGAAAACGCAAAAAGAATGTTAGAAATGAAACAAGTTGACATAATGGAAGGTCTTGACGATAGAATTGAAGAGACCTTAACTTCACCCATTGTTGATAATCAGTTCGTAACAGAATCTAGAACAAAACATTACAGTCAAAGCTCAACTTATTCATCATTAGATGGTATAGAGGATTACGTTAATTCTACAAAAGTTCCTGCCTACAATATTTTCATCCACCAACCATCGAAAGGAGAAACAGAAATTGTTGACCGGTCAAAAAAGCTTCGAGACTTTTTGATCCCTGCATCTCAAAGTCAGAAATCTTTATCTAGCAATACTTTCGGGTTGAACAGCAATCCATTCCACACTATTCCGTATCACCGTTCACCACTTAGGCAGGAACTCAAGTTGGAAAGCAAGGACGAAGCAGATGAAGTTGAAGAAATATTCAAAAATTTATACCTCAATTCTGTTGACAATGAATCTACTCTATGAATGAACATACCCCCGTTAATAATTATCATTCTGTCGATAAACGAATAGAACAAAAAGAAAAAAAAAAACCAAAAAACTCACATATATATATACATCAAATAAACTCAAAATCTAACGAATTCAAACTGTTGGGAATTATCTGAAGATCCTATGCTCAATTTATTTGATTAACAAATATCGATATAAGATTTTATCTATATACGCACACAAACAAGTAACATAATATGCAAGAGCTGTTCATAATAACTTTTATTGAAAAATAAAGGTGAAAATTTTAATAGTCCAATTGCCCAATATGTTATGAAACGTGATACATGATAATATTAACCATTCCATCACGTACGCTTCATTAAAACCTATTATTCTTAATAAAATCACAAAGTGAAGTTTAAATTAGATCGTAAGGAATAAGCTTCTACATCAGATTAAGTTGACACGTTTTAGTGATGATGTGCGGGCGGTCTTTGAACCAATGCATCGTTGCTCACGTCTAATAACATTTCTTAAAGCCATTTAGTCAGCTTATGAAGGTGTAACATAGAGTATAGAAATAAGAGGGTTGGTCTCGTAGAGTATATTTGTTAATGCCATTTCCTCCTTTAATCTAAGTTCATTATATTCAAGATCCGAAGAGACCAGTATAATTAAGTTACAATGAAATGAGCGAATTAATACCCATTGACTTAAAAACAATAAAAGTTTACGCCTGACTTGAAATTATTAGAACTGCTTCCAACTTCAGGATTATTAAAAGAAAAAAGAACTTATAGTATATGATATATCGCATTAATAAATTTTCTTATAGTAGTAACACTATAAGGTACTGTAGGTACCAGTACCTGATACGTACTGTAATTTGTCTAACTTTGACCTCTTGGGTATATGTCAAATAGTTACTAAGTCTTCCGTAATAATGGCAATGATCTTTACGAAAGTTGCG